CTTTGGCATGAGTCGAATAGATGACGAGAACTCTAGTGACAGCGACAGCGATCGCGGCAGGCACTACTACAGCAACAACACCATATACCCGAGTGATATGGACTTTGACAACGCGTACGGACACGACGATAGTGACTACAGTGACGGTGATGACGATGATGACAATGGCACCTCTACCGCCAAGACTCCCGTGTCCAGGAAGCCGGCACCGATCCCAACGGTCAAGCAAATGTACGACGCCGCTTTCGCTGTCAACAACGACGCGTACGTCGCTGTCGTCATGAGGGTCTCTATCACCGTGGCGCTCTCTCGATAATGGGCGGCGTCTCGGACAACATCCGCGACATGATCACGTTTTTTGTGTCCACCAAGGTCCTCGACGTCGCGGTGTTTTCGTTGGGATCCTCCAATGCGGCGCTATTTGACCCTCGATGCCGTGTACCAGCGTCGGTCGCCGCGGCCTGCACCCGTGCCCGCCTCCAAACGTTTTTGGGCTGCGACCACGCCTTTGTGACAACCGTCGACTTGATCGATGTAGTGTTTTGGCCCAAGACGCACCGCGTGAACTTTCTCGGGTTTGAAGCCGCGACGTCCCTCGTGACGTCGTACGTTGCCGGTGACAGCACCGACTTGCTCGGGTTGAAGACACTGGACGACTTGGCGTCGGCGACGATCCACATGCTTGGCGACAAGTTGTGTGGACGGCACAATCTTCACGTAACTTCCGACAACTGGGCGTCACTCGGCGCATGCCTACTCACCACTAGAGACCTCAGCCTGGCGATGCTCTTGCTTTTGAGAACGACCGACACTCACTTTTGGACCATGCCCGCGGTCGTCTGCGATTGGTTCCGTGCGCTCGTGACGCGCTACGGGTGGCATGTAGTACTTCCGCCCTATCTGAACCTCATCGAGCGCACCGACGCCATGCACATGCGCTTGATGGCGAGTCTCGTCGAGGACAACAAGCTCTGTGTGCGACAGCGCCACGCAATCGTGCTACTCGACGCCGTACTTTGTTTGCTTTTGGAGCGCCACAGCTCGGTCAGCTACATTCCGTCCTACGGCAGTTTGGCTCGTAGATTTTTTGAGCGCAAAGAGATGCTGGCCAGACACATTCCGCATCTCGACAGCTTTGTGAACGACGCACTGCGCGTGTCCTTGTGCTTGGTCGACGAGTCCACGGACCCGCTCGTCGGTGGGATCGTGGCGACGCGCCTTCCGCCCCCAATTTTGGCGCTTGTCGAGAGCTTTTTGCCGCCGCGGTGGACACTCGTGCGTGCGTTGACGTGCGACACCCGGCTGCAGAG